GCCGGGCGCGGTGGCTCACGCCTATAATCCCAGCACTTTGGGAGGCCGAGGCGGGTGGATCACGAGGTCAAGAGATCGAGACCATCCTGGTCAACATGGTGAAACCCCGTCTCTACCAAAATGCAAAACATTAGCTGGGCGTGGTGGCGCGTGCCTGTAATCCCAGCTACTCAGGAGGCTGAGGCAGGAGAATTGCCTGAACCCAGGAGGCGGAGGTTGCGGTGAGCCGAGATCGCACCATTGCACTCCAGCCTGGGTAACAAGAGCGAAACTCCGTCTCAAAAAAAAAAAAAAAAAAAAAAAAAAAATTAAGCCAGGTATGGTGGCTCACACCTGTAATCCCAACACCTTGGGAAGCTGAGGCAGGTGGATCACAAGGTCAGAAGTTTGAGACCAGCCTGGCCAATATGGTGAAACCTCATCTCTAGTAAAAATACAAAAGTGAGCTGGGTGTGGTGGCCCATGCCTGTAATTCCAGATACTGAGGAGGTTGAGGCAGGAGAATCACTTGAACCCAGGGTGTGGAGGTTGTAGTGAACCCGGATGACACCATTGCACTCCAGCCTAGACAACAGAATGAGCTCCCTCTGAAAAAGAAAAGAAAAGAAAAGGGAAAGGAAAGGAAAGGAAAAAGGAAAGGAGAGGAAAGAAACTGCAAATTAAAAGATTACATAGAGTGGAAATTTCAAGCACAGCTTGAAGTGCAGAGGCCAGGACGAGGTCTCTCTCTGTACCACCACTCCCGCAACGGCAATTAACATTCGGCCCTTCCTCTGCTCTCACTTCCTCTCTCCAGCTTTGCACGGGGATTTCACACAAATCCGACACATCGTATGACTTTGCCTGTAGACACCTGGGAACGTTGTCTAATCATTTGAAGCCTTCTGATTTCCCAACACAGAACCACCCAACCAAATTTACAATAATGTCTTTTTATCATCTTGCTATACATTATTATCATCAATAATTTCCTGTTACCAATATCCAGTCTGTGACCCACTGTCCATGATGATCTCAAAAATGTCCTTTTACAGCCTGACCTGGTGGCTCACATCTATAATCCCAGCCCTTTGGGAGGTGGAGGCAGGGGGACTGTTTCAGGACAGGAGTTTGAGAGCAGGCTAGGAAGCATAGCAAAACCTCATCTCTACAAAAACTACACAAAAAATTAGCTGGGCATGGTGGCACATGCCTGTAGTCCCAGCTATTTGGGAGGCTGAGGTGTGAGGATCGCTTGAGCTGGGGAGGTTGAGGCTGCAGTGATCCGTGATGGCACCACTGCACTCCAGCCTGAGTAACAGAGTGAGACCTGCTCTAAAATACATAAATACAATCATCAGCCAATGGACTTGGACAAAAAAATTTGCAAATTATGTATCTGATAAATCTGATAAATATATAAAGAATTCATTCAAGTAAACAACAATAAAACACCCAGTTTTAAAAAGGGCAAAAGAGGAAAAAACATATTGCTTCAGGCCGGGCACAGTGACTCACACCTGTAATCCTAGCACTTTGGGAGGCTGGGGCAAGCAGATCGCCTGAGGTCAGGAGTTGGAGACCAGCCTGGCCAACATGGTGAAACTCTGTCTCTACTAAAAACACAGACATTAGCCAGGTGTGGTGGTGGGTGCCTGTAAATTTCAGCTACTTGGTGGGGGTTGCTGAGGCAAGATAATCACTTGAACTCAGGAGGCAGAGGTTACAGATAACTGAGATTGCAGGCAAGACATGGTGGCTCATGCCTATAATCCCAGCACTTTGGGAGGCTGAAGTGGGAGGATCACTTGAGCGCAGGAGTTGGAGGCCAGCCTGGGCAACATAGTGAGACCCAAATATCTTTAAAAAAATAAAAATTAGCTGGCTGTAGTGGCTCACACCTATGGTCCCAGCTACCTGGGAGGCTGAGGTGGGAGGATTGCTTGAGCCCAGGTGGTCAAGGCTGCAGTGACCCACGATGGCACCACTGCACTCCAGCCCGACAGAGCAAGACCCTATCTTAAAAATAAATAATTTAAAGACCAGGTGAAGTGGCTCATGCCTGTAATCCAGGCACTTTGGAAAGCCAAGGAGGACAGATTGCCTGAGCTCAGGAGTTCAAAACCACCCTGGGCAACATAGCAAAACCCCATCTCTATTAAAAATACAAAAAATTAGTTGGGCATGGTGGTGGGCCTGAGACCAGCCTGGCCAACATAGTAAAACACTGTCTCTACTAAAAACACAAAAATCAGCTGGGCATGGTGTTACCCGCCTGTAATCCCAGCTACTCAGGAGGCTGAGGCAGGAGAATCACTTGAACCCAGGAGGTGGAGGTTGCAGTGAGCAGGGATTGTACCATTGCACTCCAGCCTGGTTGACAGAGTAAGTCTCTGTCTCCAAAAAAAAAAAAAAAAAAAGAGAAAGAAATTAAATTTAAAAAGGTAAAAATTAGCTCAGGACCCCCAATTTACAATGTGCCCCATATCACTGTGTATATTTATGTGAGTGTGCATCCACAGGAAAATTCCAGCAAGTTTCAGAGGTCTCAGAGGTTAGACACTGAGAGTGACCATGACAAAGTTCTAAGCAGCACCTGCGTGACACTTAGTCATCTCATGCCCTTCACTCAGCTCTGTCACATCAACAATCGGATTCAGCACTCATGGCAACTCCACAATACATGCTTGCACTCTACTACAAAGGAGGAAGCAAAACTTACGAAAACCAAGGAACTCACAATCAGAACTAGTGGGCAGCCAGGCATGGGGGCTCACACGGGCTCATGCCTGTCATCCCAGCACTTCAGGAGTTTGAAGGCGGGTAGATTGCCTGAGGTCAGGAGTTTGAGACCAGCCTGGCCAACATGGTGAAACCCAGTCTCTACTAAAAATACAAAAACGCCATGCATGGTGGTGCGTGCCTGTAATCTCAGCTACTCAGGAGACTGAGGCAGGAGAATTGCCTGAACCTGGGAGGCAGAGATTGCAGTGAACCAAGATCGCACCATTGCACTCCAGACTGGGCAACAAGATGAAACTCCATTTCAAAAAATAAATAAATGATTTTTAAAAAACACAAAAAATTAGCCAGGTGTAGTGCTGCAAGCATGTAGTCCCATCTACCTGGGAGACTGAGGGGGGAGAATCACTTGAACCCGGGGGTGCGGGGGTCAGCGGGGAAGGCTGCAGTGAGCTGAAATTGTGCTGCTACACTCCAGTCTTGGTGACAGAGTGAGACTTTGTCTAAAAAAAAAAGAAAAAAAAAAAAAAAAAAAAAAAAAAAAGAAACCAAGCAGGTGGCCCAGTGCAGGGGCTCACACCTGCAATCCCAGCACTTTGAAAGGCTGAGGTCGGAGAATCACTTGAGTCCAGGAGTTTCAGACCAGCCTGGGCAACATAGTGGGATCTCATCTCTACTAAAAAAAAAATAGCCAGGTGCAGTGATATGCACCTGCAGTTCTAGCTACTCAGGGGTTGAGGTAAGAGGATTGCTTGAGCCCCAGAGGTCCAGGCTGCAGTGAGCCATGATCACACCCCTGCACTCCAGCCTGGGTTACAGAGCAAGACCTTGTCTCCAAAAAAAGGAAAAGACTGGGCAAATATAGACCCCAATTCTTTCATCTGCCCTGATGAGCAGTTCCCACCCGCCCCACGTGGTTAACTGTGGTTAATTGCGGGGAACGAGATTTGAGGATAAAGCTTTCCCTATTCTCACTCCTGTGGTATGAGACTTCATTACAAATGTATTCTCAGGGTGAAAATCAATTCTTGAAAAGGTGAAGACAGCGGGCAGTGGGGCGGGCACGTGGCCCAGCAGCAGCACGATGAGTGGGGCCCGCGTGGTGCCAGGGGCCGCGGGCTATGGGCGAGGCCCGGGGTCTGCGGGTAAACGCGCTGCCCCCGCTGCCCAAGAGACTGGGCAAGCTGCTGCACTTGGCATCGGGCGGCGGCGTGATCAGGGGCTGGCGGCACCTGGAGCGGCTGTAGGCGCAGAAGTCGCGTATCCAGGACGAGCTGGGCCTCGGGGACGCCGGGGGCGGCAGCACTGCCAGCCAAGCCTCCCAACCTGGACGCCGCGCTCGCGCTGCTCCGCGAGGAGATGGTTGGTCTCCGCCAGCTGGACATGTCCTTGCTCTGCCAACTGTGCAGCGTTTACGAGTCGATTCAGGAGTACGAGCAGATGTGCCAGGCAGCCTCCAGCCCAGACTGCACTTACGCTCTGGAGAATGGCTTCTTTGATGAAGAGGAAGACTATTTCCAGCAGCAGAACTCCCTGCGTGGTAGGAGGGACCGAGGGCCTCCTTGGGACTTGTCACTGCCTGCCTCCTCCCTCTCCAGCACTGACTGGATTCTGGAGTCCATCTAGAGGGTCTTGGGAGGGATGTGACTGTTGAGACGCCCTTCCTATCGGACACGCTGTCAGCGTTTGCTGCTTCTCTTGCAAGAAAGCACCTCCATTGCGGATGGTCATCGGGCACAGGGGATGGGCACTACTAGCTTCATTCGTAGGCAGGGAGTTCTCTGCGGACACATGGTGGCAATCCAGTTTGATGGCTGCAATTCCTGTTTAGGTGACCAAGAGGTCCTCATCAGTATCCTCCACACCTTTAATTGAGATATACCTGCTGGGGATTCATAATGAGAATATTAACAAGCAGATCTCAGCGGAAGGCCTTAGTGGGTGTTTGGTATGAGGTGGCTTGTAGCCAGCCACTTTCTTACAGATGGCAGAGCATTCAAACTCCCTTCGTGTTAACGTTCCTGCTTCCAGTTTGGGATGTATTAAAACCACCATTTCACTGCTCCCTTCCTCTATATGGTCTGCAGCTTTTCTTGCTGTTTAATGAGCATTTAAGCCTCCTGGTTCAGCTTTATCTGTTTGTAAGCTGCACTACTAACTGCCCAGTGATTCGGTGAAAGCTTTTTTATGAAAAAAGTTAACATTTCTAGTCATCCCAATCAACTGGCTTTTCTCAAACAAAAATTTGTGTCATTCTTTGTCTATCAGTTACAGAGGAAGGAAGATAATATGAAGACATGTTGAAGAGTGAAAAAAAATAACCGTGGCAAGCCTGTGTTCTGTATCGCTCACTGTAAGATGGCTAATGTTTCCATTTTTAAGATTCTGAATGTGAACTAGTGTGCTAGAAAGCAAACCACCCTCCACACAAACTAGTAGTTACCTTAAGCCTTAATATATTTATTAAAATACTTTATGAGAACATTAAAAAAAGAAAAGGTGAAAACAAATGGTATTCTTTTTATGCATAAAGTCCAGAAAAAAGAACATAAACAGATACACAACATATCTGTGGTACTGAAAGTTCAGAGGTATAGGCCGGGCACAGTGGCTCACACCTGTAATTTCTAGCACTTTAGGAGGCTGAGGTGGGAAGATCACTTGAGGCCAGGAGTTCAAGACTAGCCTGGACAACACAGTAAGACACAATCTCTAGAAAGAATAAAAATTAAACAACTCACCGGGTGAGGTGGCTCAAGCCTGTAATCTCAGCACTTTGGGAGGCCGAGGCAGGTGGATCACGAGGTCAATAGATCGAGACCATCCTGGTCAACACGGTGAAATCCCGTCTCTACTAAAAATCCAAAAAAATTAGCTTGGCATGGTGGTGTGTGTCTGTAATCCCAGCTACTCAGGAGGCTGAGGCAGGAGAATTGCCTGAACCCAGGAGGCGGAGGTTGCGGTGAGCCGAGATCGTGCCATTGCACTCCAGCCTGGGCAACAAGAGCGAAACTCCGTCTCAAAAAAAAAAAAAAAAAAAAATAGAACCAGGGAAGGTTTGCTTGACTCCAAAGCTGTGTTCTTTTCATCCGTACATCTGACTTCTGTCATCATTTTCTGAGGTGCAAGAAATGGAAACTAATCTAACTTCCAGCTCACATCAAGCTGGAAAAAGTCCAGTTTCTAGAAGCATCTCTCAAAATGGAAAGTGTAAGTTTCTAGCACACAGTTCCACCAAGGGCCGATGATGAAGAGGGAGAAGAGGGTAAGCGGGTGCCCCGCGCTTAGCTGGAAAAAGCCAGTGTCACCTGTCTCTGCCATTTGCTTGTGGGATGGGTGCCCAGGGTTGGGGCAGAAAGGGTATATGTGCTTCTCCTGTAGTCCCTAAAATCCATGGGGCACAAGTAGGGAAACCCCAGATTGGGTAACTCCTCAAATCAGCTCGACTGCTATCTGACCACCCTGGAGTTATCAGGGAATGTGTTTCCCTCGCCATGTGGACTCAGTCCTGCCATGGCAGGGCTGAAGCTGACTGCAGATACACTGCAATATACATGTCCATCCCCCCTTCTCTATGACGAGCTCCCCAGGGACAAGACTGGACACATTTTTTTTTTGTTCCCTGCCCCCACTGTTTGACAGCAGGAAAAGAGGCAGCTGCAGAAACTGTAACAGAACAATGCAGTCCCCATATGTGAGATTTTTATTGAGAAAAAGAAAGGCAGTGAGCCGGGTGCGGTGGCTCACGCCTGTAATCCCAGCACTTTGGGAGGCCGAGGTGGGTGGATCACGAGATCGAGACCATCCTGGTCAACATGGTGAAACCCCCGTCTCTACTAAAAATACAAAAAATTAGCTGGGCATGGTGGTGCGTGCCTGTAATCCCAGCTACTCAGGAGGCTGAGGCAGGAGAATTGCGTGAACCCAGGAGGCGGAGGTTGTGGTGAGCCGAGACCGTGCCATTGCACTCCAGCCTGGGTAACAAGAGCGAAACTCTGTCTCAAAAAAAAAAAAAAAGAAAGGCAGTGAAGGCCTGGCATGGTGGCTCACACCTGTAATCCCAAGCACACTGGGATCCTGGGGCAGGAGGATCACTTGAGCCAGGAGTTAGAAGTTCGAGACCAGCCTGAACAACATAGCGAGATCCTGTCTCTACAAAAAAGAAAAAAGAAAATTAGCCAGGTGTGGTGGTGTGAGCCTGCAGTCCCAGCTACTCATGAGGCTGATGCAGGAGGCTCACTTAGAGGCTGAGGTTGCAGTGAGTTATGATTGCATCACTGCAATCCAGCCTGGACCACTGAGTAAGGTCCTGTCTCAGAAAGAAGAAAAGAAAAGGAGAAAAGAAGGGAGAAGAGGGAAGGGGAAGAGAGGGGAGGAGAGGAAAGGGAAGAGGAAGGGAAGAAAAGGGAGGGGAGGGGAGAGGCGGGGAGGAGAAGAGAAGGCAGTGGAATCTGAGATGATCCTTAGTGCTCCTTTCAGAGTCTGCAAGCAGCACTTTGGAGGCACCCTAGGGAAGAAAGTCTGCTAGGTTCTGGAAAAAAAGCATGAGGAGCTGGGCACCATGCCTCACACCTGTAATCCCAACACTTTGGGAGGCTGAGGTGGGCAGATCACCTGAGGTCAGCAGTTCAAGGCCAGCCTGGCCCACATGGTGAAACTCTGTCTCTACTAAAAATACAAATATTAGCTGGGTCTGGTGGTGGGCACCTGTAATCACAGCTACTCGGGAAACTGAGGAGGGAGAATAGCTTGAACTCAAGAGGTGGAGGTTGTAGTGAGTCGAGACAGTGCCATTGCACTCTAGCCTGGGAGACAGAGCAAGACTGTCTCAAAACAGCAACAGCAGAGAAAGAAGCCCTCGGGACTGAGCTCCGGGCCGCCTCCTCTGCAGGCTCCGGGTCCCCTCTACTCATCCCTGCATGCTTTCAGACAAACACAGCCCCTCCTTCAGGGCGGAGGGGAGAAGCAGCAGCAGACAGGAATGGGCTGTGCAGGAGCAGCAGGTGCTGCAGCCCCTCCCGAGCCTGTGGGGAAATGCTGCAGATCTTCGGCCTCGCACAGACAGATGAAGGGACAGACTGGTGAACAGACAGACAGATAGGCAGCAGGGATCCTGGGCCAGGTCCTGGAGCACGAGCCACTGTGCAATCGTCAGAGCAGGTGCTACCTTCCATGGCATTCTGGGAATCTAAGTCAGTCTCATATGCTGGATGGCAAGCCAGAAGCAGATGCCAATCTCGGGCTGGGCAGAAGGCCACGTGGTCCTGTGCACCACCCTCCCTTTGCCTTCAATCAGAATTGCCTTTTATAGGCAGGTTGATAGTTAACAGCTGGATGGTGGGGGTCAAAGGACTAGAGGGGGAAGCACCAGAAACTCCAGGTGCAAGAGGACAGACGAGATGAGGGCTGGGTTCAAAACCCGGGGCTCTGGGGCAGGTGCTCATTTCAGGGAAGTGGAGAGGCGGGGCGGGGGCCAGGGGCTTTGCAAAGGTGGAAGGGGGGCCTGGATCAGGCATTATGGAAAGTACTTCCATAAGGAGCGTTTGCGGCTCACTCTGCTCCACAAGGAGGATGCACTGCCCGCCCTGCTCTTCCTCTCTCCTTTCTCTCTCCTTCCTTCCTTCCTTGCTCTTTCTTTCTTTCTCTTCCTTTTTCCTTCCTTTCCATTCTTTCTTTCCTTCCTTCTTTCTCTGCCCAGTCTTCTTTCTTTTTCCTTTCTTTCTTTCTCTGCCCACACATTTCTCTTTTTTCTTCCTTCTTTTCTTACTCTCTTTCATTCTTTGCCTCTTTTTCTTTTTCTTTCTTTTTCTTCTTTCCTCTCTCTCTTTCTTTCTTTCTTCCTTCCTTTCTCCTTTTTTTCCCTCCCTACCTCCTTTTTTCTTTCCTTCCTCTCTCTTTCTTTCTCTCTCTCTTTTTTTTAGACGGAGTTTCACTCTCTCTACCCAGGCTGGAGCACAATGGCACAATCTCAGCTCACTGAAACCTCCACCTCCCTGGTTCAAGTGATTCTCCTACCTCAGCCTCCAAGTAGCTGGGATTGCAGGTGCATGTGCCACTGTGCCTGGCTAATTTTTGTATTTTTAGTAAAGATGAGGTTTCACCATGTTGGCTAGGCTGGTCTTGAACTCCAAACCTCAGGTGATCTGCTGCCTCAGCCTCCCAAAGTTCTAGGATGACAGGTGTGAACCACAGCACCTGGCCTCTTTCTTTCTTTTAAGAAACAAGGTCGCTGGGCACAGTGGCTCAAGCCTGTAATCCCAGCACTTTGGGTGGCCGAGGCGGGTGGATCACGAGGTCGAGAGATCAACACCATCCTGGTCAACATGGTGAAACCCCATCTCTACGAAAAATACAAAAAACTAGCTGGGCATGGTGGCGCATGCCTGTAATCCCAGCTACTTAGGAGGCTGAGGCAGGAGACTTGCCTGAGCCCAGGAGGCGGAGGTTGCGGTGAGCCGAGATCGCGCCATTGCACTCCAGCCTGGGTAACAAGAGCGAAACTCTGTCTCAAAAAAAAAAAAAAAAAAAAAAAAAGAGACAAGGTCTTGCTCTGTTGCCCAGGCTGGAGTGTAGTGGTGCCACTATAGTTCACTACAGTCTTGATCTCCTGGGTTTGTGCAATCCTTCCACCTCAGCCTCCCAAGTAGCTGGGATG